ATCTCCGCTCACTGCAGCCTCAGCCTTCCAGGTTCAAGTGATTCTCCTGCCTCAGCCTTCCGAGTAGCTGGGATTACAGGCGTGTGCCACCACACCCGGCTAATTTTTGTATTTTTAGTAGAAATGGGTTTTCACCATGTTAGCCAGGCTGGTCTCGAACGCCTGACCTTAGGTTATCCACCCGCCTTGGATTCCCAAAGTGCTGGGATTACATGTGTGAGCCACCATGTGGCTACCATGTGAGCCACCATGTAGTCTCCTGGCTAATTAAGAAATTTTTTTTTTGTAGAGATAGGGTATCACTATGTTGCCCAGGCTTGTCTCAAACATGTGGCTTTAAGCGATCCTCCCACCTTGGCCTCTGAAAGTGCTGAGATTATAGGCTTGAGCCACTGTATCCCACTGATTTTTGAATAATTATGTTCTACTCATTCAATATGTGAATGTCTTGAGTGTTCATAATTTAACTTTGCTTTTACAAAGTATCATGGCTTTAAATTATGTATGATAAAAATCGTTAGGGAAAATCTAATATTCAGTGTTTGATTATGATTTGTGTCATTAGTGTAAATGCCATATTTTTGCAGATTCTTAATGCTTTTCGGACTCCTGATGGCATGCCTGTAAAGAACTTGCAGTTGAAGGAGTATAACACAGGTGAGTTTCTTAACTTGCATGTGGCCTTGGGTTAGGAGGAGTCAAGTCTCTGTCAGATCTCTGCATCATGTGCTACTTAAAATTTGTTTTAAGAAACAAATTTCTTAAAACAATTAAAATTTCCAGAAGCCTCCCGTTGGTGCCTCCAAATAACAACCAGCTTTAATCTTAGCTGTGGTTCTTTGTGGATGTTTGTCCACGCATGGGTGATGAGGATGCATGTTCCAGTTCTTCTGAATGCCTGTGATATATAAAGAGAGTGTCGCAGCAATTGCCCTGAATATATTTTATATAATTATTTAACTTGCTATGGATGTTCTTCATGGTGGTGGAATGTTTATGTTTGAGCCTAGTAGGATTTAGTAAGCTTGCTGTATGTAAAACTTTACATTCATTGCTTCAGAGTAAAATTTATAACTTCCTAGAGAAATTGTACAAATTAGTGATTTCTTTAATTTTCAGTTTTGCTTTGAGAGTGGAGTCCTGTTACAGTTATTTTGTTGAAATCCATGAATAGATCCGGAAGAGCTTTCCCTTTGACATCTGTTCTGTGGTCTGAATGGTGGATTAAACTTTTCAGAATATCCTCCTAGTCGTATTTCACAGCACCAATTTCAGTCATTTCCTTTACATCTTACTACAGTGAAAGTAGGCAAAGGTGAAATGCCAAGAACTCAAGGTTTTTGACCAATATTTTTAGAACTATGTATAATAGTAAGTGGTTTAAAAATAAAGGTAATCTTTAGGTGACCTATTTTGCAGAATTTTAAATGGAAGAGAATAGAGCATGAGTCTTCACAGAACTTAGAATTTCAGTAATTTAGTTAAAGACATCTTCAAGTAAGAACATGTCATATTTTGAGGATATAATTTACTATTAGCAGTTTATCATGGGATAAAAATTTTGCATTAACTAGATAACTTCTTCAGAATGCTTCTGCAGAGGAAAATTGTCCACAAAATAAATTTTGGTGTTTGAAAGAATACGGTATTAAGTCCAGAAATAATTTGTTCTGTAATTTGAGAACAAGCTCAGGAAGTGTTATTTCTCAGAGAGCCAATTATTTTTTTGTTTTAAAAACATGAACCCTGAATTTGTGGAAACATGACTAAGAGTAGATATATTGTTCTTCTTGGTATCTCACTTTTGTTGGTTATATTTATTTTTTGCATATGCCTCATACATGCTTTCTTTGGGAACTCAAAGTAGAATTTACAGGCTGGAGATGCTTTTTAACTCTCAGGATGATAACCTCAGTCTGGTTTCATGAACTGTGCTTTCATTAAGTATTGATATGTTTGGAAAGAAGATGTCTTAATATTTAAATAGCCGTTCAAACTCCAGTTTCTTTAGTATTCGTTGACTTTCTAATTGTCAAATTTGTCAGCACAGTAAAAATTGTATTAACATATAGGGTCTAGAGAGGAAGTTCTTAAATTTGCTGATTGTGGTAGCTATTAGAATTGGCAGACTGAAGACATTGGTACACATGGGAAATCATTCAAGACAGTGCTTGAAAATAAAATGAGAAACACCTTTCAGCAAATGCAGTCTTGGCATTCTATTAAGTTGTGTTTTTTGTTTGTTTTCGTTTTTTAGTGAAATGATTGGATTACCAGTTTCATATTATCTGTATTACATCTCTATGTGACAAATAGGATGAACTTTTGACAATATCAGCCAGATCATGTTACTCCCATGTCTAAAACTCTCTTAGGGCATTCATCTTCACTTGGAAGAAATTCCCAACTTCTTGTTTTGTCTTACAAACCCATGCATGAGCTGACCCTTGGCAGTCTGATCTCATTCAGTACTACTCTCCACCTACTCTATTTTACTGTAGCCACACTGAGCTTTTCTCTTGTCTTTGACCCATACAAACTTCTTTCTGTGTCAGGGTCTTTGCACTGCTCTTGCCTCTGATCTTTACTTGTCTTCTGGGGTCTAGTTCTTGGCTTCAGTTTCACCTCTCTGAGGCCTTGTGTCACCCACAAATCTGAAATCATCTGGTAGTTGTTTTCCATCATATCCTTGTTTGGATCTATCACTGATATTTTTCTCAGTGGATCTATCACTGATTGGATATTTCTATCACTGGTATTTTTCAGTTGGGTCTATCACTGATCTATCACTGGTCACTGATTGGATTGAATCTGTCAGTGGTATTGGATCTATCACTGATACTTTTCTCAGTGGTTTTGTGTATCTTATTTCTCTCACTAGAGAGGAATGTCAGCAGGAGCCTTATTCCTTCTTGTTTCCACCAGTGACTGACATTCAGTAGGTTCTCTATATGCATGGAATAGATTATTATTTATGATGTTTGTGAAGAGCAGCTGTGATTTCCCCTCAGGTGAGGAGCATTAAAGGGTAGTGTATGTTTCACAGCAGTGCAGCTTAGGTCTTACATATCTGCTAAAGAATATGTCTTGGAACAATCAGATGTTCTGAGAACTATAGTGTTTACTGTTAAAAGATCATATGTGGTAGTCAGGCATGGTGTTGCACACCTGTAGTCCTAACTACTTGGGAGTCTGAGATGGGAGAATTGCTTGAGCCTAGGAGTTTGAGGTCAGCCTGGACAACATAGCAAGACCTTGTCTCTTAAAAAGAAAAAGAAAAAAAAATGTGAATCTTAGTAGTAACAGTGACTTAAATTTTTTTTTATAAGAGAAAGAGTCTTACTCTGTTGCCCAGGTTGGAGTGCGTTGGTACAATCATAGCTTACTGTAACCTCAAACCCCTGGGCTCAAGTGATCCTTCTGTCTCAACCTCCAGAGTAGTTAGGACTACAGGTGTGCACCATGCCAGGCTAATTTTTAAACTTTTTGTAGAGGCGCAGTCTCACTATGTTGCCCAGGCTGGTCTCGAACTCCTGGGTTCAAGTGATTCTCCTGCCTCATCTTCCCAAAGTGCTGGGATTACAGATGTGAACCAGTATGTCCACCCAAAAAGGTGACTTTCATAGGTGAAAACTGGCAGTCAATATTTTAGGCTGAGTGATGACCTGCAGAGACCATGCAGGATGGATATTGCTCATAAGAGGGGAATTGTGGAGTACAGTCTGTCCTTTTAGTTGATGTAATGGAGGGCTGATCTATAACACGGGAGAGAAGATTAATGCCTCTTCATTGACTCTAGTAATGTATTAGTGTGATTTTTGTCTCCTCTAGAGCTGTATAAGTACAGGGTCACAATTTTATATAGAAACTGTGAGGTTAAATGAGCTTATGAATTTTTCAAGTTATAGAAATGTAATTTACGTAGATCATATAGGAATTATATCTTCCAGGGGAATGTGTACTGAGACATAATATGCTGCAAAATTATTAATATTGTCACTAAGAGGAGTAAATAAAGACTAAAGCGACTCATTATGGTGTAGGCCAGGACTTGCCTCAAAATGACTTTGTTGAAGTTTACCAAAAAACTTGACATTTATGGGATTTTGGAATTGTAGAGAAGAGATTTTGGACCCATATGTGTTCTGTATATTTGAATTTTTCTTTTGCCATTTACAAATACATTATAACCCCATGAACTGTAAATTATCTTGAGTTACATGATTATTTCTGGAAAAAGTACCAGAAGTAAAATGTCTTTTGGTGACTAGACAAACTTTAGTATATGTATAAAATGAATACTGCTCAGCAATAAAGAAGAAACTACTGATGCACCCAACAACATGGATGAATCTCAATGGCAATATGCTGAGTGAAAGAAACTAGACTCATAAGGATATATACACTGCCATAAGGAGGAATGAAATACTGATGTATGCTACAACTTGGATGAACCTTGAAAACATGAAAGAAGCCAGACACAAAAGACCAAATATTGTACAATTCAGTTTATATGAAATATCTAGAGTAGGCACACCCATAGAGAGAGAAAGCAGATTGGTGGTTGCCAGGGGCTGGGGGAATGGGGAATGCCTCCCTAATGGTTATAGTACTTCTTTTGGGCTGATAAAAGTGTTCTGGAACTAGGTAGTAGTGATGGTTGCACAACATTGTGAATGTACTTAATGCTTCTGAATTGTACACTTTAAAACGGTGCATTTTATTTGATGTGTATTTGCTTACAATTTTTTTTTTTTTTTTTTGAGATAGAATCTTGCTCCCGTCACGCAGGCTGGAGTGCAGTGGCACAACCTCGGCTCACTGCAACCTCCACCTCCCGGGTTCAAGCGATTCTCCTTCCTCAGCCTCCCAAGTAGCTGGGATTACAGGTGTGTGCCACCACACCTGGCTAATTTTTCGTATTTTTAGTAGAGATGGGGTTTCGTCTTGTTGGCCAGGCTGGTCTTAAACTCCCGACCTCAGATGATCCACCTGCCTGGGCCTCCCAAAGAGCTAGCATTACAGGTGTGAGCCACTGCGCCCAGTCAGCTTACAGTTTTTTTAAAAAGACCACATACTAGATGTGTATGTGTGATTTCACTTATGTGACATTCTGAAAAAGGCAAAATTTTAGGGATTGGAAATAGTGGTGGCCAGGGTATTGGGGGAGGAGTTAACTATGAAGTGGAAGCATGAGGGAATTTTTGGGCATAATGTAATTGTTTTATATCTTGATTGTGGTAATGATGTATCAATATTAAATTCACTGAGTTGATAACTACTGTGGTTATGTTAGAGAATATCTTTTTTCTTTTCTTTTTTTCTTTTTTTTTAAACGGAGTCTCATTTTGTCACTCAGTCTGGAGCGTAATGGTGTGATCTCGGCTTCCTGCAACCTCTCCCTCCTGGGTTTAAGCAATTTTCCCTGCCTTAACCTCTGGAGTAGCTGCGATTACAGGCACCTGCCCCCACTCCTAGCTAATTTTTCTAGTTTTTAGTAGGGAGGGGTTGCACCATGTTTAACAGGCTGATCTTGAACTCCTGACCTCAAGTGATCTGCCCGCCTCGGCCTCCGAAAGTGCTAGAATTACAGACGTGAGCCACCATGCCCAGCTGAGAGCATCTTCATTCTTAGAAAATACATAGTGAAGTTTTTA